GAAGGTGAATTCATTATCTCTTGCTGGTCGAGTCACTCTTGTCCAATCTGTCACCTCCGTCATCCCATTTTATGCTATGCAGACAATAAAATTACCAGTTACCATTTGTGATCAACTTGATAGGTTAAATAAGAACTTCGTCTATGGCTCCACTCAATCCAAAAATAAGGTTAACTTGGTTAAATGGAGCCAAGTTTGCCTTCCGAAGTCTCTTGGTGGGCTTGGTTTGAAAAACATGAGAGTTATGAATTTGGCTATTCTTTCTAAGAACTCTTGGAGATTAATGCAGGGGATAATGGCATTTGGGCAAAAGTTTTATAAGGAAAGTATATTAAAGGTGATATGGGTCAATTACTCAATGATAAAACTGCTTTACGCTCTTCTTGTACTTGGAAAGGAATTCTTGAAGGGACTAAACTTTTGCATGAGGGGCTCCACTATGGTGAAATGGAAATGGAAATACGGTAAAGTTTTGGACGGACAAATGGGCTAAATGTGGTATTTTGCTTCATCATGCTTCTTGCTCGCTTTCCAATGATATGCTTAAGGCTACTGTAGCGGATTATTGTTATAATAATGATTGAGATATTGGTCAATTATTATTGTTTTACCAAAGGAGATTGTCGAACAAATTCTTAGCATTCCAGTTGGTTTTGATGCTTTAGCTGATAAGTGTACTGGAGTGGAACAAATGATGGTAATTTTTTTGTTAAATCTGCTTATATGTTGGCCATTAATTTAAGTGGTCTTCCTAATTGGCAATGGGAATTCATTTGAAAACTTCATATTCCTCTAAAAGTTCCGAGTTTCTTATGGATGCTTTTTCTTAATAAACTTTTCGCTAATGAACAAAGGCTGAAAAGGGGCATGACTTATAAGCCCTGAGTGTCAGAGATGTACTTGTGGCGTTGAATCAATGCCTCATGTTTTCAAAGATTGTCCTAAGGCAAGAGAAGTTTGACAAAGGTTGGGAATGTATAATCCACAGTTAGATCACATTGATTTTCATGATTGGCTTCATTTTAATCAAAAATAAATCTCTCATATTGGGGGGGTTTAGAGTGGTGGTTAGTTTTTTTTTTTCCATTGCTTGTTGGTTTATTTGGTATCGGCAAAATAAATTTATTTTTTAGTAGGATTTTGCCATGATTAATGAGCCTAGAATTGCTATTTGTACTTATCTTTGTGAATGCTTGAAGACAAGTACTCACAAGATTGATAAACCTCATAGGATTGAATCTTTGCTCCATTGGGAAGTTCCTCCTTCACGTTGGTTTAAGCTTAATGTTGATGGTTGCAAGAAGGGAAGTAAAAATTATATTGGAGCATGTGGTGTTTTGAGAGATTCTGATGGTAAATGGATTTTTGGGTTTTGCACCAATTTAGGCTTAGGTGAGATTCTCAATGCTGAACTATAAGGTCTTTACTTGGGCTTACGATTGGCATGGAGATTACGGATTAATATATTATTAGTGGAATTAGACTCTGCAGTCATAGTTCATTTGGTGTTGCAAGCTGCTGGCAATAATCATCCTTTAGGTCCATTTGTGTTGGTCTATCGAGGTTTGCTGTCAAGATGATGGCAATGTGAACTTCGACATGTCTACATAGAAAAGAATTTTGTGGCGAACAGTTTAGCGACCTATAGTCTTGATTTAGATTTAGGTCATTTTTATTTTGATACTTCTCCTTCTTGTCTAGTTAGTTTTATTTGTGAGGATGGACTTGGGATGTCCCGGTCTAGATTTATTATTGAATAGGTTTGTTTGGGCTTGCTTTTAGCCCTGTTTTTCAACCAAACAAATAATGTGAAGACCCTTACAAATGTCTAAAAACAAATAAAACTCTTAAATCCCTCTTCTAACACAACCTCAGCTCGTCTAGAACCTATATAATTCATCTTTAAAATAAATGGGTGAGGGGTGTGACAAGACCCGTCACTGATTGATATTTGACAAGTGACGTGGCAATGATGCAACTGGCCTATCAACAATTAAGTGGGTCGTACTTATGCCATGTTAGAGATTTATTGACAGGGTTGACAGATATGCCTCCTCCATCCTCCTTTCCTTACTCATCTCAATTCATAGATTAAAAAAAAAAAAAAAAAGTTCTTGCAACAATGACTAACATGTGGAGGTTGCAAGAGAGTCAAGAGTAAGAAAACAAGTGAGAAGATGAAGAACGAATAAGGAGACATGCCTAACACCAAAAATGTAGAGAAGCATCAATTCATCAAGTGGTGCAAGCGATGGCATCAATTGATCAACACAACCAAGAAGTAGGTGGTTCACTAATCGGTGATGCGCTGAACCTTAACCTACTCAACATAGATTGCTCAATCCAGGATATGCCTAGAATTTGCTTCACAAATTTTGCATGAATAACCAACACCCATGCTTGAGGCAAATTAACAGCTTCCTCGATCAACCAATTTGGATTCTCACTTTTTTTTTTAATGTAACAAAAGGATTTGGAAAGTGGAAAACAAAAATAGGAGATTGTAGTGAAAATAAATATTGAGTTGTACTGTGGGGAATGAAGAAGGTGGTTGAGTATTTATAGATTTTTTTTTTGGATTTTTTACTGATGAATTGATTATGGCTGTTGATTTTCAAACAGTTTGGAAATCAGACACACTAGATTGTGCCACGTGGCATAATAATAAGCTTTTCAATTTTTTTTTTTACCTTTGGAAGCCTAACGATCCAGTCATCAAACCATTCTAATGGTTTAGGACAAGCGTAAATAGTCGTTAGACTCTGCCGGCTGACGTCTGTTGCGAGACCCGCCCTCCACTTGTTGACATCGTTCATTGCCAGCAGGCTTAAGGTCTGGTAAAAGTTCGTTGGGCTGCCCACAAATCATCCCCCTAAAAATGCCCATTGGAGCAATGTTTTTATATTTTGGGCAATTAGATAGCTCTTGCCTCTGCTTTTGTGTTGGAACCCTCGTCCGGGCAACTATTCTAAGAGTATTTACCATTAATAGCCAAAATTTAACATCCAATTTCATAAATGTCACTTTTTATAAAAACTGTCAAATATAACAGAAAACTCACATAAATAGACCTAAATACCCTCAAAATTCAAAACTCATTTACATAAAGAAGCCAAAACACTTTAATAAATCTCCTCGGCATTGTTGTTCAAAGTGCGAAGCTGCTAGCGAAATTGGTAATATCAAACTTGTGCAAGTTTATGAAAGATCAATCCTATCCGGCTTAAACTCTAAAGCAAAAATGGATTCCAGAAATAGCATTTTCAATCCTAACTCCTTGTTGTTCCTCTTTCCTCTAGCCTTCTCAAACTTCCATCCCTTGGACCGCACATAAGGTTTAGTGTGGTTGTGTGGCACACTAGGAGCTGGACCGAAGTGCTTCATTGCTTCACGAGAATTCTTAGGACCTTTGAGGAGAACCATGTTCTGACCCAATCATGCTCTCAAAGCAAGCTGATCAAATGTCAAGCACTATCCTTCTGGCTTCTCATTCTTAGCCTTCGCAGTCTCCTTGCTTCTAGTCTTCCGAACAAGAAAACAGTACAGCTTGACGAGAAGCTTGAGATAGATATCATCAGACTTGGGCACAGTGTGATTTGTCTTCTTGCTCTTACCTCCTGCCATGAATCGATGCCTATTGTTGCCACTATTGTTGAAGCTTGGGTGCTCGGGACGCTGCTTTGAAAGAGTGATTGCCCCCACAGTCTTGTACCCATGAGAAAGGCTTTTAATGGTACCTTCATTGCTGGCAGTAATTTGTTGCTAGTGGTTACGACAAGGAAGATGGGAACAATTTGAGGGTTGTGTAGATCTTATGCTCATGGTCGTTGGTTCTTGGCTAACTTTGACTTTTTTCTTATTGAATTTAGTTTATGTTTTTTTTTAGGGAGACTTTGGATGCAGTCCCTAATTATGAATAATCTTTGACTGAAACTTTTTTGGTTTTCAATTTTTGATCCAAGTCCCTAAAATTAATTGATAATTTATTTCTATGTACGTTACTATATTTTTTAAATTAAAAATTAAAATTTATAGTTGTTTATAGTAATGAGATTTTAAATAAAAAACATAATTTGTGGGATTAAAAATATTAAAATATAAATATACTATTGTGTGTGTGTGTAAACATAGGTACATTCATAAAAAATAACCAAAAAGTTATTGTATCAAAACATGGGTACATTCTTCAAAATGGGTACATTTAGCAAAAATAAAAATGGGTACAAATAAATAAAAAAATATGGGTACAATACAAATAAAACTTTAAAAAATATGGGCACAAAAAGAAATTAATATATGGGTACAAATTAAAATTGAAAGGAAAATTGGTACAAATTAAAAAAGGGTTGCAAATTAAAAATGGGTACAAACTAAAAATAAAAATATATGATAAAAAATTTAGCCATAAATATAAATATACTAATTGTAACATTTTTAATATTAAATGAATATATTTAGAAATAAAAAATATTTTATTATTGAAATAATTAATGATATTATTAATACAAAGGACCTTGATCAAAAATTGAAAAGTAATAAGGTTTTAATCAATAGAGTAGTAAAAATAAGGATGAAAACCTAATTACTCCTTTTTTTTAATTAATTTGGAGGGTATTTAAGTCTATTTAAATAGATTTTCTGTTATTTTTGAAAGATTTTATAAAAAGCGACATTTATGAAATTGAGTGTTAAATTTTGATTATTATCTATAAAGCACCATTGCACTTTGACCCGACCCATTCCAAGATTCAAAGCAGGGTCAAGTGGTCAAGTACCCTCCAAACGCCATCCACAGCCGTTGAAAATCCACAATATAAACGCAGTCATCAAAATCAACGGCTCAGAATCATACAATCAGATTCACATAAAATGCAAGAACCTCTTTGGAATCTCTCCCTCCTCTCTCAGGCAGATAGTGACAAAAATACATTATTATTATTATTATTATTATTATTCCGTCCCTGCTTATCATCCTCTTATTATTGGACTTCGGAAAGTTCCTTCATTTTCTCTCTCTCTTCTCCTCTCTGTCAAAGCAACGCCCCCTTCCTTCCTTAGATCCGTACGATCTGCGAGGTCCATCCATGGCTTCCAAACGGATCTTGAAGGAGCTCAAAGATCTCCAGAAGGACCCCCCGACCTCTTGCAGCGCAGGTACAATCCCTTTCTTCTTCGACCCCTCTTCTTATTTTCCTTTTTTCTGTGTGGTTTTACACTGTACTTTCGTTTTTTAACGTCCTCAGCCGATTTCGAAGCTCGATCTGTGAATTTTGAGCCTTTTTCCGATATGGGTTGTATGTAATTGGCTTGTTTGGTTATGTGTTTGTTGTAGCTGATGTTACTTTTTTGCAGAAAGAATTTTGGGTTTTGTGAAAATTATGTTTTGGATTGCATGATCATGAACCTGCTACAGTGTTTATGTTATTAAGGCAATGAAATATTGGATCTTTGGTAGGCAATTTTTTATTTGGTTTTCTTCCAATGCAATTTTGTGATTGAACACTTTTTGAAAGCTTGTGAATTTTAAGTGTTGTAGTGTGCTAACCGAAATTGACTTGAGCTATTCGGAAGTTTTGTTGTGTCAATGAAATAAAGGATCTATTTTTTCATCACGGGGTTGGAAGACATTTTGGATATGTAAAATTTTGTGATAGGACAAAGTTGAAAACTTATGAATGTTAGAATTGTAATGTGCTAACTGAAATTTGACTTGAGCTATGCGAATAGTGATCTCAGTGATTAGAGTTCATACTGTTATGGGTAGCGAATTTGTCATGGTTGATCACCATTGATCTTTTATTGAGTTGTTGCCTGATTGAGACACAATCAAAGATACACACTATTTTCAAGAAGGTTTTGTTTTTCTTTCTAATATTTACTGAAGTGTGGAAGTAATAAGTTTCTAGTTGCTGACGAAGGCGATGAAGGCATGCATTTAGTTGCTTGAACTTTGTGTGTTAAATTTATTTGTAATATGGATTTTAAAAATGGTTTGCTATGAAATGATTATGAGGTTACTTGTGTTCGATGTCAGGGCCTGTTGCTGAGGACATGTTCCATTGGCAAGCAACGATAATGGGTCCCCCAGATAGTCCTTATGCAGGGGGTGTCTTTCTAGTTACCATCCATTTCCCTCCTGATTATCCATTCAAACCACCTAAGGTAAGGAATTTTAATTTCTTTGTTTAAGTTGTTAATTTAGCTTCATAGCGATTGCATTATTGCCAACTCTTGTTTTCTTCCCCACGCCCCCTTTTCCCCTATCCCTTTGCTTTTGGTTTGGGGTGTATTCATGCATTGTCAAGAGATCCGATAAATATTATGGTTTTGTAGTCACAGTGTCAGAGAAATTGTACCGCATAATGTGATTCTTCCATGGTTGGAACTTACAATTAAGAGGTTGAAAATGTACGAACTTTTTAAGAAAGTACCCATTCTTTTTAATCAGTTTGTCCTATATTGAATTGAATCCCAAATCCCCAATTCATTGTCTATGAGATTAGGGAAGCAAATTTTATAAAAACTAGTGATAGGACGAGGACATAGGCATGGTGACCTTGAGAACAACCACTGGATCAGGTGGCGGTATTTCAATAGTGTTTGGAGTTTTAGTGTGCAGTGGTATAGTTTAGTCATCCAACAACTTTTCAATTTCTATCTATTTGATTCTGGCATGTGACAAAGTTGTTGCTCTTTGATAGGGAAGGCATTGTTTTTTTGTTTTGGTAGGTGGTGATGATTAAGTCTTTGTCCAATTAACTCTTACTCCCTTGGATTTTCATTGACTTGTATGATACTTGTCTTGTTAAACTACTTAACAGTAAGAGTATGTTTTGAAACATTCTTGATGCCTTAAATATATAGGGCCATGGGCCATGGCTTAGGGGCTCAAGTCAAACATATTGGCTTGGGTCTTGGAAAAATCAGAGAACCTTAGGCCTATGTCTTAGCCACCTCCCATTGCATCAGCATTTTCAATTCCGTGTATGACTTGGGGTTCGGCTGGTAATGGCCTGAGAAGATACGGTTGAACCTGGCTGGCACATAAGATCTCAAATTGACCATTTTCAGGGAAATGTCAATAGTACATCGTGTTTTGAATTGTCGCCAATGCTTTGGCTCAAAAAGTCTAGGAAGATCAAATCCAATCTATTAATATTCTTTCACCAAATTGTTTTTACAGGTTGCCTTTAGGACTAAGGTATTTCATCCCAATATCAACAGCAATGGAAGTATCTGCCTTGACATTTTGAAAGAGCAGTGGAGCCCTGCTCTCACCATATCTAAGGTTCTGATCTCTTCATGGCTCGTTATGATTTAATAATGTCATATGTTTCAATTTTTCCAGTCCAAGATAAATGTGGGTTGGTGATTACCATGAATAACCCCACAAATTGCATATTTTCCATGCTGAAGTCCAGATGGCAGCGTGTCTGATTAAATGCTTTGTTCACAAATGATTTAATTTTAATCTTCACCATGTACGCCTCATCTGGATTTCCATCAAGTAGCATATGCCACTGGCTCTGCTCTCCATTGTTGCAGGAAACATTTCGAGAGTGGGTGCACTGTGGAAGGCTGTCATTTGTTAATGCATGGTTGCTATGCACCCTTTTCACTGTTTGATATCTGCCGGTTTTTAAGTGGGTGGGAAAGGTTCTTGTTTCCTATTTCAGGTATTGCTATCCATCTGTTCCCTGTTGACGGACCCAAACCCAGATGATCCCTTGGTGCCGGAAATTGCTCATATGTACAAGACAGACCGGTCAAAGTACGAGACAACCGCAAGGAGCTGGACCCAGAAGTATGCTATGGGCTAGCGTGCTTTGTCGCGAGGGCGTGTAGGAACATCGGTTTGTATTCCTTGTTATGTATAAAAGAAGCGTGGTTTCTTCTACTTTTGCAATAGACATTGAAGAATAGTTCTACATGTTCACCCTCGCAAGTCATGACGATGTTTCAGGTGGTTTAATGGATATTTTTCGTAACAACTATGAAATATCAGCAGTTAAATGTTCAATTTACCGTCTATATGTGAATACGTAAGTATTTTGTGACCTTCCTCGCGTGGATTTGATGCATGATGGTACGTTAACCCTAATGCCTGCACTACTATGCTAGTCTCGCGGTGGTTGTATACGGCATCACTGTTCTGCTAACATAAGGCCGTATAGTGACCGAGGAATATACGTTCATTTATCTTTGGATTTGATATCGAGGATGTAGCCAAGAAAACAGGACTCAATGACTAAACAGTGTGATTGCGACTCGTTCAAGTCAACCAAGTTGTGATGTTTCATTTTATCTCCTCATCTAATTTTCATTAGGGTTAAATACCTTATTTTACACCCATCTTCTACTAGAATTGTTAATGCTCGAAAACGATCAGATGTCATCCTATCATAATCTCAAGGCTCTCAACCATAATCTCAAGACTCTTAACCCATCATAATCTCAAGACTCTTAACCATAAAAGAGGCGGATCAGACATATATGTTGTCCTGTGAATTTGGATTCCTCTAGCCGGCATAAGTGCAGGATACCTAGCTATCAAGTTATTTAAAAAAAAAAAAATTGAATTCCTTTTTCTAAAGAGAATTTTTATTTATGTTTTGAAACTTGAAGTAGCTAGGTGAGACAGCTTTTCCACTCTTTGTTCAGAAAAGATTGCTTCCGAAAAAGCTTAATTTGAACATGGTTTGAAATAAGTGCTTCTGGATAAGCCAAAGATTTTGCATGAAATAACTTTGTGGTTTCTGCTGCATGCTGAACACAAACACACTTTTTTTGCCAGATCTTTCTTCTTCCAAGCTAAAACATCATTTTCGCTTGTACATTCGCCTGCTTTTCATGTAAATGGAAGTGTTTCTGACGGATTATCTCCAAATCTGACATAGCAAAACCCCCAAATGTACACACTTTCAAGTTTCAAATTAAGTTGAAAGGAAAAATATGAAATTAGATAAGAAGAAACGATAGCAACTTATATGACAATAAGTACACAGTCACATAGGTATTTTATGTCAATAATATAAAGATATGTGTACGTTTTTTCCCTTCATATGTGCTTGTTATGACACTAATGTGGTAGTGTAGCCTATGTAAGTTGTTCTTCTAAGAAAGAATGTTCTTCTAACCAAAAAAATAAAAAATAAAAAAATAAAATCAATTTACAGTAATTAATCTAAATTAGACGTTAATCCACCACTTGCTTTTATAGTGGAAGGAAATTTCTTAGCAGCCCACCCATCGCTTTAGAGGGAGGAAGGAAATTGGTAGGAGTTAACTTTGGTGATGTGAGCAACCGATGAATGGTGACAAGTTGAAAGGCAACAAATGAGAGCAGAGAAGAGATGGTCCTTGCAGTTTCCTTGCTATCAATTCCCAAGCCATGATATGATACATGATAGTGACGATACAACCCGAATTTGTAGTACATAGGAAATCGTTATTGGCAATTCAAATTTTTTTTCATTTTGTACTCTAAATTTCTATATATACACACACACACACACACACTTACAATGAGTGTTTGATAAAATTTTTAGCGTGTTAATAACCAAACCCTTTAAGGGAAGAGATCCCGATTTTTTTTCAAAACATGGTATTTAGTTGTAAGACCCACTCCAAATCGAACTTCAACAATCCAAATCGTCTATTTTGTAAATCTCGATTCATATATCATTCTTTCAAAAATTCAATTCAATCCGAAACTATTTGCCTATTTAATTATCATGATTAAAATTTCATTGTTTCTTATTGAATTAGATGTCTCAAATATTTTTTATTTGACTAATATTTTTACAAAGATAATCCATGAGATGCAACTTAAAAAAATAAACAAGTCGTATCGAGATCCGTCTTCTTAAAGGCATCTGCAAAAAACAGTTCCTTATTTTTACTAGAATTATATAATTTTATCTTATATTTCCTTATACATAAACTTCAGCATTAAATATAGTGGTCTTTGGTCAGTCAACAGCCCAAAAAGATAAATCCAAAATTTGAGTGACAGAAAATAAAAATGATATATAAGGTAATGGTTGACGACATCAGATAGCTACTAGACAAATATGTTGTTTTTGGGGAACAGGTAACTTGGAGGGCAAGCACCAACAAGCCCACTATATTTATTTGACTTTTTTTTTTTTTTTGACAAGAAATGCGTTTTATTGTAACTTATTGTGGGTGGCAAATAACTTGTTATATAACTATATAAGTACTTTGTAAATATTTATTAATTGTAAAATAAATATAAAAATTCATAAAAATAAATATCGAGGCGTTTGACTTGCTTAATACAATGGAAGGAAAGTAGAACACTAGAAACTTGGTCCCCAAGCAAAAAATAACTATGGGTTGCACAAAATACTTACCAAGAGATATCAATTCAAATAATCTCAAGTTCTCCCAAAGAAAAAAATATATGTTATTTTCACATGTTTAACGTGATTTTATTGGTCAAATTCTTATGTATGTGTTATATTACACAAATGATTTGGTATGACAGTCACACCATTACGTAATGTTATTAATTATACATTCAACTTGTAACACTGCAACATGTGCAGCGGTGTCCAAGAAATTACTCAAATATTATAACCAAAAAATACTCCAAAATGAACCCTAAATTGGGCAATATGACAAAGAGTTATGAAAGAAGGAATAGGATCCTCTCCAGATTCTTTTTGTGGGGATCCGGAGGATCAATCAATCGTGTCTGTTCATTGTACATCGTGCGGTTAGAAATCATTTAAAATTTTTGTTTAAAATTGAATATAAATAATATTTAACAAAAACTGATTGCCAGATGTATAATGAACGGACACGATTGATTGATTATTCGAATCTCCACAAAGAAGATCCGGAGAGAATTCTGGTCATGAAAACCTTCTTATTAGGGAGGAATTTCAAAATTACTTTTTTTACTTTAATAACCCCAAAAAACAAATCTTAAATTTGAACTGGTAAGACAAAAACATTCTTAATACTTATCAAACAAATATACTATAATTAATGGAAAAACACGAAAATGTTGGAGACTGCTAAGATCCTCCTATAAGTACGCGATCCTCGGTAATTTTGACTCCTCCTCTGCTCTCTCTCCGCTCTTCCTCCTCACTCTCTCACTTTCTCTCTCTAAATTCTCTCTCTAAAAGCTCTCTTATTTATTCCAGGCTTTTACTTTCTCTTAACGCTCCATCAGTTTCATTTTCCTCCGCCATTAACATTTGCCCTCCAAATTTCTCTTCTTCTTTCTCCCACCATTTCATCATCTCAGTATTTTGTCGTTTAGCCTGTAGGCTACAGCCATGGATCGACCCAAGCAGCACACGCAGCGTCGCACGGTCAAAAACAAGCTTGTCAAAAAGCTCACCACCCGCTTCCGGGAGTCTACTGCCGGAGCCCCCCAAATCGTAAGGATTTCCGTCACCGACGACAACGCCACCGACTCCTCCAGCGACGAAGCCGAAGCCGAGCCGGGCCGGAAATACCGGGTCCTCATGAAGCGCGTCATCAACGAGGTCAGAATCGAAGACCCGTCTCCTTCTCAGGCGCTCGTCTCAAAACCAACTAAGCCTTCTAGGTGCAGAGCGGCGGAGGAGAGTAACGAGATTTCGCCCAACGGGAAGAAATACCGAGGCGTACGGCAGAGGCCGTGGGGGAAATGGGCGGCGGAGATCCGAGACCCAAAACGTGGGGTCCGGGTCTGGCTCGGAACTTTCGAGACGGCGGAGGAGGCCGGTATGGCTTACGATAAGGCTGCCATTGCGTTTAAGGGACCTCTGGCTTTGACCAATTTCCTCAAGCCTCCCGAAATTGCCATTCCGGACATCTCGGAAGAGGACTGCAACCCAATTTCTCAGTCTCCGCTCAACTCGCGGTGCGGCCACAGCGTCCGGTCGCCAACCTCTGTTCTCAGTGGCCGAGAACCCGAAATCGACTGGAAAGTTTCGGAGCGACAAAATTTCGGGGTTTTTGATACGGAGTTTTGGTTGAATGATTGTTTTGAACCGCCGATATTTTTCGAGGAAACGAGAGTCGTACCCGAAACGCTTCTGAAAGATGAGGATTTCTCCGATTTATCGCTTGATTTCCGGACGTGTAATTGGGATGACGTGGAGGATTACTTTCAAGATGCTTATGAGTTGAAACGATGATTATCAAAAGTGTGGTCTTTTGATTTTGAATAAAGATTTTGAGTGCCAAAGAGTCGTTTGGAGTTGTGATTTAGTAATTAGTTTATATAAATTAATCCAAATTATTATTATTATTACCTACTACTAAATTACGACTCTGTAAATTTTGGCACGTATGTATCTTGATTTTTCACCAAGTGGGGGAGCACTCAAAAGATTAAGTTGCTTAACTTAATTTCTTTATTGATTTAAATTTGCAATCCGTTATTTAAAAATGTCTGTATTTAACTGTCTTCGAACTTTTTACATTTAACAATGGAAGCGTATTCCGTTTAATAATTAAAACGCAGGAGTTGTTTCATACTTATGCGTTTAGGTATTTCAAATTTAAAATATCTACAGGTTACAATTTGTTTCATATTTCGAAAGTTGTTGCAATTTTGAATTAAGGCGTTTCATACTTATCAATTAAGACGTCAAAGTTCATGTCACACAAACGTTTGAGTTTACAACTCGTCTCATACTTAACTTTAACTTCTAAAAACAACAACAACATTTTGTGTGATTTGTTCTAAAAAACAACAACAATTTGGAGTAAAAGTGATTTGAGAGTGATCCAAGTCATTGACCCAAATGGGGTTCTCTGTCTCAGTCAGAGTATCTGGAAGACAACACGAAAGAGCGAAGACACTCCGTAAAAAACAATGGTGAAGTGTGACCGATGTTCTTGCTCCAAAACCAAAACCTAGAAATTAACCATTATTTAATACTGATTTAGTACTAGAAATCTTGGCAAGGGTGAAAATTAACCTGTAGGCTCCTTTGCTTTTTCAGAAATTCCCAGACAATGTCAGCCTGCTTTTTTCTGGTGAAATCCCCGGCTTGGTTCTTGAATCTCCGGCCAACTGAAGAAAGCTAGCTGCACAAAAGCCACGGATTTGCATTCCCTGGTAAATTTGAACATTAAATTAAGATAAGACCTTTCCACTGTTGTGTTGGTAATGCATGCAGTGTGTCGTGGAACACGAGGTTTCAAAGTTCATGTCATATCTCAGACCCACAGTTTGCAACTTGCAACTTGCAAATCGCATCTCCATCTGTGACTAATGACTAGACCATGTAACTCTCAAATTCTGGTCATTAGATTAGATCTTCTTGCAAACATGTATTTAATTTAGGTCCGCTCCTCAGTCCTCTCCCTACTGTTTTTGCCAGAGAAATGGTCATTAGAACTCAATTCTCAACTTTTTATGTTAAAAGACTTTTTAGTCAAAACGGTTTTTGAGATCGGTATACTCTTTACGTTATTATTTTAGATTTACAATTAATATAAGTGGTTCCTGATGTAGTGCACCGTTAATCATTTTGGTCATTTGTGAAAAATCTCATTAAATTGAAGAAACCACTTGTTCAAGTGGAGGAGTTTGATCTAATAAAAACATCCTCAATCTAACAAAGATTTTTCACGTAACATCAAAATAATTGATGGTAAACAATCTAATGGACTACTTTTATCGATTTTAAATCTCAAAGACTAAAATGATGAGTTATACCAATCTCAAAAACCGTTTTGGCTAAAAAGCCTTATGTTAATGAAAAAAAACCCTTTTGTTTAACTAGGGGTTTTAAGGCTTGATGACTTTTACTCAGTATTACTTGGCATTTGACAATCAAACCATCAACTAATCTTATAGTCTTTTGTAATATTCTAAACTATAATTGTCATCATCCACTCGTACTATAACCTATAGACCAATAATACCACATGACAATATTGCAGTAACCTCTAAAGCTTTTCCTTTCCAACGTGATAGATAAATTTTCCTCATCCTGTGTCGTGTTACTATTCAATTCATGTTCTAACGTTGTAATCTACGTCCATCAAATCATATTTCCTATACACCTATTATAACGACAATCAGCAATGAGACTACCGCACACAAAATTTTCTAACTTTCAAGAATATAATTGTTGTGCCTCATTTCACATGACAGAATAAAAACTGAAACACTATAAAGAAGGATCTAATTAAATTGTATTGAAATTGAGCTAAATTACTAAAAGAAAACATGAAAAAAACTAATTGGACTTGGTTTTCTCTACTCTTTTTAGCAGGTAATTACTTTGACCGCAATCTAAAGATGAAACGATCCAAACCAGACCGCACTTCCCTCTACTTGGTCCAGTAAACCCAGTAAAAGATAGCAGTTGAGTAGGAATTTTCATTTTTTTTTTAATGTTTTTAAATAAGTTACTTGGGACTCAAGTCTCAACAGGCTTATCATTTCCAATAAACACATGACAGAATTCCATCATACCATTTGAAAATCAACAGAGATATAAAAAATAATTAATTTATTTATGAGAAATGTTAACGAGGCTCTCTCGTGGGACTCTCTCTAGACTTTGTCACTTTTTACAATTTAAGGTTAATTTTTTTACTAATATTATAAAATATTGTATAAAATATGAGGTGCAAAAGAGTTCGTAAATGATCAGATTTTTGTGAAAGTCTCCTTAACTAGTATTTATCGGAAATGTAGCCAACCTCTGCCTCCCTCCGATGTTTTATGTTGCAGGTGTAGGGTCCACCCTACATTACAGAGGCAACAGTGCCTGAGCATGGTACCCTTTAAAGCAAAACACTGAACCAGAACCCAGTGGGTTGATTTAATAACCAACCCCCCAAAAAAAAAAAAATAAAAAAAATTTAAAACTCTTTCATATTCAACTCAAATAGTACAGTAATAAATCAGTAGATCTTCCTTCTTCTTCCTATTAGTCGTCCTAGTCAATGTGGTCCTTCTTATACTGTGCCAGTTTTAATTTTTCAGAATTTAGGTAAAAAATATGGTTCAACGGTTGAATGTGCAGTCAAAGATTTAACGATCACGATCCGAACAATTAAAGATTCTAGTGCACACAATTCTTTGATTCATACTAGAAAAAATGCAGATGCGGTTGCAAATTAAAATGTAAACTAAAGGTTCCTAGGGAACAAAATCTTGGATTCATATGCTTTGTGGTTTTCTTTGTATGAATCTTGAATCTAAACAAATCAAATATCGTTTTATGAATCACATCTTAGCATTTTTGGATTGTTAATGTTTTTGTTGTCTAATAATTAGTCAAACTATCAATATGAGCATTCACTTATCAACAATTTAGTTAGAATCTTGGTTTAACAATATGATAACATGACATGATAAATTATTCGTCGAGATATACTGTCTTTCATATTCACAAGTCCACAACCATGAAGAGCTTCAAATCATTTTTCAAGGTGACATTAGCAAATAGATTAGGGCCTAAAAGTATGCATACAAAAATGGACATGGAACATTCCCCTACCTAAATAGCAAAGGAAGACAAAGAGGGGACAGAATTTCATCAAAGGTGAAAACTAAAACAGGAAAAAACAAGATCTTTATTCCAAATACCTTAAAATACAAGGTGTATTAATCTCTTTTGGACCCAAAGTTGGTGAATATAATAAAATGGGATGTGAAGCCCACACCTTAAACTTTACTTAGCATGAAACCCTATGGTTTCATGCTTAATTACTGTATAATTTTTAAGGTTTAAAGTGGGCCACAAAATCTGAAGCATGATGGGAGAGGAAGCCCGAGGAAAAGGTACATCATTTGCAGAGGAACGTAGAGATCATATCAAATGTATCAGAAGAACAGGCGGGATCAGTGGTCCCATTCAACCTACCACCAGAACAAGGATAGAGATTTGCATCAGATCTTTGGGTCCATGAAGCCATTGATGAACTATTTTGCTTAAAAATATAGGCTCTTTCTCTTAATGGTATTTTTCGTTACAAGTAAATTACAGTTTGATCTGTTTTTATAATATGTTTTTGCATATATGACAAACAGTTATTTATATGTGAGGAGGAACAACTTCTAACATAGGACGAGTCGAGCAATGTTCTTGGTTTTTAAGGCTAAAACACGCTTTTAGACACTGTAGTATACACAAAGTTCCACTACCATCCATGTAGTCTTGATTTCATTGTATTTAGTCTTTGTAATTTCTAATATGTTTCCATTCAAGGACATCCGTCAACCTAGGTTAACGGAAGTTGATGAATGTCGTCGAATTGGAATAGATTCAAAACTACAGGGACTAAAAACGTGTCTTAGCCTTTTTGCCATGTCTTATGGAAGTGCAAGGTCGAATTGGTCACATTTTCCTCTACTCACGTCGTACACAAAATTTCATTGTAAATACTTGATTTTAAATTGTTTCATTAATATATGTGAAGATACGAAAGTAAAAGAGTCTCACATCGGTAAAAGGGAAAATCTTGCAATGACTTATAAGAGGTTGGGTTACTCTTCATGCCACCAATTTGTTTTGACAGTGAAACCCCAACTTTTTCATGGTATCAGAGCATGTTGGTCACCCACTGTGTAGCCTAACAGTGGCAAAAGAAGAAACCTTGCAAGCTTATAAGAGAATGAGATATTCCGCATATTGCCAATTAATTTTACAGTAAAGCCTCAACTTCTTCGATATATACATTGTTGAGTGGTGAATGGTGATGCAGTACAGTAACACCATAGTCAATGGTGTATAACTAACTAAAATGGCCAATTTCAGAAGCAGAAGAGCTTCTTGTGCATTTGACTTTGTCGATTTTTATGGTGCATATATGCAGAACAAGTCTGAGGAAAACTCATTGGTGTTTCATACTGCTAGTGTTCTCATTGAAAATATTTGTGAGATGGTGCGTGTTCAAAGTTTTGGGTCCATCCCACTTTTGTGACCTGAAAGAAAATCCTTCTGAGCACTTGGGCTGGCCCCAAATTTGTCACTCCCACAGATTATAAGCGGACGTGATTCATGTTAACGTTGTGAACATGATCTAAATTAAATCACATGGAGCCTAATGACGTATAGTTTTCAAAGAATAATGAAAATAAACACAAATAGAACCGGTTTTAAATTTTCAAAGAAAAATAAAATCAGAGGACATAAGTTATGTTTGGGGTGAGGAATTTCCAAGTCTCAAGAGATTGACGCTAAATTATTAAGAAATGTATTACAAATGTTAGATAAGAGAGATTAGAAATGTCTTTTATGAGTATTATAAAGGTATGCATGTGAGATTCGTAAGGACCCATTTTGGTGAGCTGGATGAGATAGGTTGTGATCAATTAAAATGAACTTGAGTCTAGTTTGTTGTTTGTTGTGTAAAAATGTGAGATGGACTGGACTAGACAAGATGAGTTGTGAATCCACAATAGAGTGAGTTATCTAACGTATCATTATACATGTGTTACAAATCATGTCTTACAAGTGTCTGCCAATTCAATCATATCCCTAAGGCCCAATCTCATCCAGCCTACCAACATGTCCTAAATGGCTCATGGATTTGACAATCTCTCTCACATGTCTGTGTAATGTTTATGAAAGGGTATGTATTTCTAACATCTAACATTTTTAATCATTTACTTACTAACTTGATATCAATCCCTTGAGATTTGGAAATCTCTCATCCCAAACATGGCCTAGAGATTATAAGTCGCAACCAAGTTTAGTGTCCGTTTAATGATGCGTCATGGTTTATGTTTTATTAAAAGTTTGTAACCAGTTCTGTGTATTTTTACAAAAACTAGTATACAAGTTGTGCATGTCATAATATGCAATATACATGTATTAACATGATGAAAATTTTTATTTTTAAAAAAGAAGATGGAGTAGGAGAAGAACGTGATGAGAGTGAGGGTGTGGGGGGTCATGAACAGCTAAAGCCACCAAATCTTCCCTTTAAAGGAAAGAAAAAAGAAAAAGTGACAAACAAAATGATTGTGTGGAAACACTTTAACTTAAGTTAATGCAGAAGAGGAGCCCTACTTCATACCAAACCACAGGCAAAAGAAAAAGAAAACCTGATAAAATTGAACATGGCCAGATCAGAATATGATTAAAAATAAAAAAGGCCATTGAAAATTACAAGATTAGTGGGTTTTTGATTGATGGGAAATTCATTTGTTTGAGGGAGTTTTAAGAGAGAGAGACCTGCAGTTTTTTTTCAATCGAGATAAGGCAACATGGGATTTCATGGTAGGCTCAGCAGCAATGAAACTAGGGTAAATAGCAGGTTGTGTAGTTTCTGTTCACAAAAGGGGCGTTACTGTGACATTGCAGAGGCCCCATTTGAGGAGAGGAACAGATTGATTGCAATTAGAGATCAAGTGAAGGAAGTTGAGAACTCCTTCGTGTTTTTACAGGTAATTATTTGCCCCCCTCACCATTATTTTGTTTTTCTTTGTGGGTTGTCCAATTATATATATTTCTCTTTTATGACACTTATTAAGTTTGCTTAAACTACGGAGGGATTCAAACATGGGTCCAGAAGGTAGAAATACATTGCTATAGCCAACTAGATTAAGCCCAAGTCTGCAAAGTTGTTCCATTTGCATCATAGCTTTAGGTGTTTTTGATTTCTCTGTCACCATATCACTCTTGTATGATCTTTTATTTAGTTTTTTTTTTCACACTTGTGGGGATCGATATACGCAGAGAATGAGTTCTTGGCAGCAGATGGATAGGCAAGCAGCATTCAACAGTTTGGAAGAAAGCAAGCAAAATCTAGTAGCAAAGGTGGCAGAATATAAAGGAAGAAGGAAACTTGATGTGCTGACAGAACTAAATGCATGTTTTGGCAGTGAAAATAATGTCCCTTTCAATTGGGATTTTAGAGAGAGGTTGAAGATAATGTCTGATGAACCTACAGGTGGAGTTCACAGCACAAGGTTTCTCACTAACTGCATAAGAAAATTGCTCTTCTCATGGAAATGGCAAAAAGTTGTTGGAATTGCAGTGAAACTGGTTATGGTTTCTGCGAGCATTTCTTTTGTAATTGCTGCTTGTAAAACCAGGCAACTATTGTACACCAGCTCAACCAAAATGATTCCATTTTTGGTCTCCAAAGAAGCAGGAAAAATTGACGGTCTATTAACCTTCTCAAAGATCCCTCTTGATGTTTTTTTTTTGGTAGGGGATGATTGTTAATCTTTTTTTGTTTTGTTTTTATGTCTCTCATACATGTAGTTATCAAGAAACGTTTAGAGATTTATTTTTTTATTAATTTACAAGTGTAATTGTTGTGAGATATAAATTCATAGCGCAATCAGACCGATTGTCACTAGACTAAATAATCATTAGTGAAACGTCTTGATATCGAATATCTTTCGTTTTTTAATATAATATTTTTTCATATAGCACGTGCCTATCCACTTGTAAGAGTTGGTAGTCATCAAATGCCTTGTATGATACTTTCAACTATTTCTGGCCTTGATAATTTAAATCAAAATTTGATAGTTTGGAATGACTTGATAATTACAACTTTTGTATACATCTTGAATCGAACTCGGGATCGAAACAGATCCTGGAGTAGTTATGTTATACTTGTTTAGATGAATACAAATTGTAATAAACTGAATACACATATAACAAATAAAACAAAAAATTTAACCAAGTCTCAAAAGCATTTGTTTGGTTTGCTCACAGTTATGTCTTCATATATAACTTATAATCTCAATTGCATACAAATTCAACGGTTGAAGGCAATTTTTGTTTAAGGTTTTGCATGGCATGGTCTCTTGCTTCCGCTTCCTTCTCGGGTTTTCCTCCATGACGCACTAGTCTAATATCCCAACACCAATGCTGGATAATTTTCTCTAATCCAACAAGATTCTCTATTAGGAACTTGACATGTTGATCGACGCAAGGACGAGGGTGGTACCCTAATATTTCTAGGACCTTGACGTAATTATGGGGCCATTTGGCAGCTCTCTCTAATTCTACTTCTCCCCAAGGGCAATGAAAAGTCTCTTTTACCTACAAAACAAGTCTCTGCAAGTACGGATACGCCTTCATGAAACAAGTTAAAAGACCAAGACTCTCTGAATGTTGTGTTAACATATCAATGATTCTGCCATTGATGAAGGCAAGAAGCATAGATATCACAGAACCTTATACTCGAAGAAATGAATAAAAGTGAAAGAGAAAGAGAGAGAGAGAGAGAGAGAGAGAAGACAGAGAAAGATTATCTTTGTATTTGTTTCAGAATTGAATTATACAGTAACCTTACAACCTTCTTATATAGACCCTTAGTCCTTAATCTCAATCTCAACTGGGGTAACCCAGTTTGAGATTGGAAAAACAAAACCAGAAAACAGAACACATAGTTGAATCATCTGCAACCTTGCAATCCCACTTCATCCACCGCAGATTCATTTCAGTATGCATTCAACCCGTCTCCAATTTCATCAACTCATTCAACTTGAGCCGGGCAAATAAATCTTCATTGCTTTGTCACTTGCAATTTGGAGCCGTGTATGATAGTGTGAAGTTGTTGATCTTTCTTCATTCTTCAATCGTGACAGCCTCTTATAAAGTTGTAACACACCCTCATGCTGGTTATAACAATTTCTTACGGGATTACCCTTCGTGGGATTTACCGTCAACAACTTCATTTAACATTGGCATCGGCCTTTAAAACAGAAAATTAACAAGCTATAGTGTGGCATCGGCCTTAACTATAGTACTATGGGATCGCCCTTTGTGGATTTTACCAAAAAATAACTACTCTCAACAATGGCATCGGCCTTCACAATTTCAACAACAGAAAATCAACATCTATGTAGGATTACCCTTCGTGGGATTTACCTACTCACATCACGGAATTACCCTTCATGGGATTTACCATGTACAACTTCTTCAAATTTCATCATATAACCGGACTTACTGTAGATTCATGCTAACAATTGAGTTGGTTAGACTCGACTTTATAGGCTGCGATAAGGGAAAATATTGAACAATCTTCACGGACATCACACTTTTCATACCCAAGAATCCATATTCATTTCTCCACACATATCAAGAGACTGAGCAGAATTTTAGTAGCAATCCAGAGCAACAATCTTGAACCCAAATATCAGACACAACTTGAAGAAGCCAGAAAAACTCACAAGAAAGATGATTTCATGCGACAAACTAATTGAGTTGCACCCCAACATATTCTCAAATCCTAGAGAATGATACTCCAAGGAAAGACAAACCCCAAATCAACACATCAAGAATCTAACCAACACACCTCAAATCTATACTTCAATCAAATCACGAAATTAAGGCAAAACAAACACCACAACTTCAAAGAATAGACATCATACAAAATCAGTAAACAAAATCACCTGATTCACGAAACTCACACCAACAGATCTTCGAATAGCACCGTTTCAGATCGCCAAATGCCCAATCTTCAAGCAACACCCAAACCAGCGAAAGACTTCACCAGAATCGAACAAATTAACACAAAATTTTCCCCTGAGACAATCAAACAAACAGTTGATATGCTAAATTGAGGAGTTCTCGAAACAGCACCTGATGACCATTTCTGATACCATTTTCAAAGCTCGAACTCTGTCTCCACAGTTCCACAGTGCACTGAACATGGTGTTGTATGAACTCAAATCATAGAAAGTCCAATTCACAGAAATTGCAGATATTGCCCAAATTTCTCATATCAGAGAGCTCCTAATTCTCAAATCGCAGTAAACTTCTCAGACAACATTATAGATTTGCATATGGGTACCAAGAACAAAATCACCTGATTTACACTAGAGGTCAAACGTTTGCATAAATTCCAAGCGCAAAATATTCAAGAAAACCCAGCAATCGAATTGACCGGTAGTGTCGAAGAGCAGCAAAATCAGACACCAACACCGACTGCCCAGAAATCCACTCGACCACCGTTAACCATTTTCTTATTGATCAGTGCTGATTGATGAGCAAGTAAGGGTTGTGGATGGAAATGCACTCCCTTGCTGCCGCACATATTAACCAAATCCTCACATAATCGGAAGTTAAAATTTGGGTCCAATTGGGAGAAATTGACGCATGCCCAGAAACACCAACACCAAATCCCACTTCTGACACCAACACCGACTGCCCACTTCCAGAAGAGGATGAATTCACTATCCCTTTAACCCCTTCGGAATTCAAAGACCGTATAATCTTTGGCCCTGCAACTGCGGTCGTCTCCGGATTCTTCTCCTCTCGTCGATGCATTGACTCTGCCTATCAATTCTCCAAGAACTTCAAGACCCCCTTCGTCGTCTTCTCTGTTGGACTCCGTAGCCACAATCTCGCAAAAACCACCCAAAAACAAAACAACCCAAAAAATAGTAGAACGATCGCGGAAGAACCCAGAAATTTATCGAAACGTCTAATGAAAATTTGGAAAGAAACTAAAGCTAGAAACACAAGAAAAAAAAATTATAGGAACCACCAGAATCCATGGTGTGAGTCTGGTGATACCATGTTAACTACATTGTAGTGTTTGGAAATTGAAAGGAAAATCAAGAACAACGGATGAAGAGAAGGATATTAGAGAGAGAGAGTTTAGAGAAAGAAATAGGATTTTTATTTACTAATCAAATGAAGATTACACATACTGTTTTTATATAGAAATCCTAACCACTTTAACTAAATACTAACTACCTAACTATATTACTAACTGTATTACATTTTTACCCTTAATAAAACACTACAATGTAGTTAACATGTTGTACATTAACTAGTAACTTCAAATGCTTGAGATTTGTTATTATGGGAAACGCCGCATGAGTCTGAATGTAGTCATCAACTCCATTGGTATCCAACTCGAGAATCTCTAGTTGAGAAAGACAGGAAGAAAGTTGGGTAAAAGGAAGCTCTGGTGTCACATCATAAACAATGCAGCCATGCGACACGGATATCTCAACAAGCGAAGGTGTTTTACCCAGAGCAAGATTTATAGTCCATTTTCCATTATAATGAAAGGAAACCAGGTTTACATCAAGAATCTCGATGCTTTTAAGGTAATAACAAGAATGTATGCACGACTGTCCTGGTTGTCGAAGCGATGAGGGTTCGCATCAAATTCACTAGAATCAAAGACGAGAGTCATAGTGGACGCCCACACATAGCGCCATCGCCTACAAAGGATACTAGTAGCTGCTGCTTCCTTTAGTGACATGAGTGACAGTATACTAACAATAATTTCATGTGGCAACTCACTGATTCGGTCCACAGAGCTGCAACAATCACCCTTAATAATATTTTCCCGCAATTTCTCATCTATCGATCTTCCGTTCTTTTCTTTTACCTTTGGTCGCTTCACTAAAGCAACCTATAAGCTTCAATGAACTGCAACTCGCCTAACAAAAAATCAATTGATGGAGAGAATGCATCAATCAAACGCTTCCACCATTCCAGCAATATTCTAATCTAATATAAGTACGGGGAGCCGGATTCTAACTTGGCTACAACAATCAAGTGAAGATTGATATTGAAAACGTTGCAAATTTAAGTGTCACCACTGGCCTAACAATGCAAAAAAGGAAGTAAAACCAACATAGAAAACTATTCTGCAAAATTAGTAAGAAAGAAAGGTTTGTAAAAGCAGGAGATATACAGCTGCCTACCATTCCTGGCTATCACTACCACAAACCTTAAAGTAGGTTTTATCTAATCGAGTTCTTGCCCATTGTTCTTTAGGAAAAAATAGTGTGAGTTCTAATATCGAAATTGGTTTTATCTAATCGGGTTCTTGCCCATTATTCTCTGAACATTCTTCACTTCCACAGGTTTGTGAGTCTACGGAAACCCTTCATGCTCCTTTTCATTTTACAAAACCGCTTCATCCGTTGTTTCTGCATTAATTACTAGACACCTTGATTAAAGTCGAACAACATTCAGTTTGAAAGGTATTACAAACTCGAACGGTAACATCAGTCAAGTCCATAGAAAATTGTTATGCAGGATGGCATATATATATATCAATGCTGCTTAAAGTTGAGCAATAATATAAAGCTCAGCAATATGAGAAAAATGAAGCAGGTCCATATCAAATCAGAAAATACCTAGCACTTGAAAAATATCGCATTCAGATAGCACGCTTATTAGACGAGGTAAAACAAAAATGCCCAATAGAGATTCTCCTTTAGGAGGTTGAGCTAGCAGCTAGCTAAATGAACAAAATATGGACCCTGTTCTTTTAATCTCTATCTACCTTTACAATCGATGAACACTTGCAAATCAAGGGAGATGAATTAAACAAACTTCCGCAGAACCTTAGCACAAAACAGGTCTTCTAACTCTAGGCATAAGAGACTGGACATCAAGATAGGAGTCCCTGAACATTTGTAATTCCTGCTTGTATCTAATTTCTTCTCCGGGAGGACGGCTTAAAGTCCCTCTTGGGAAGAAGCCTCAACAATTTCTTCTCGCATCTTATCTCTTAAACAATGGATTGTTATAACTTCCTTCTTCTCACTGCTATACTACTCACACTTGTATAGTGTGACAATCCTACTCGATTGGCAACTAAATTTCCCTCTAAAATCCGTAAGATAACACATTATGCAACACATGAACCATAATTCTCCATCCACTATTTACATTCCATAGGCAGCATGATAAACATTATAAAACCCTTCATATGAGAAAATCGTAACCAACTCCTTTCATGACAACCATGTTGAGAGTTGTCCCTCATTGGTGAGGGACAATGTTTGCTATGTGATCTTGGGCTACTCTCCATACCAATTGGTTTTATGGTGGAACCTCAATTTCATCATAGTATCAGAGCAAGGTTGTCCACGTGTGAAGCCTAACAACCACACGCGCTCCACGTCACCCAGTTGTTGTCCATGTGTAGGCTTGAAAATCCACCACACGTGTGAGGGCGTGTTGAGAGTTGTCCCACATCAGTGAGGGGCAATGTTTGCTATGTGCTTATATGATCTTGGGCTACTCCCCATATTGCCAATTGGTTTTATAGTGGAACCTCAATTTCATCAAACCAATCTTGACAATTCCAGTCCTTAGCTACTATTTTCACTAGAAATTTAATCTACACTAAAACCCTAAACACTCTGAAACACTGTTCATAAGCACAGTGTTCTTCCTGTATTACCCCTGCTAAGTTTGCATTAGTATGTTTTTACACAGACAAAAAAGCCATGTACTCATCTCTTTCCTCCAGATTTCTTCCTGCCTGGCCGTCATCCTGTTTTACCAAGATCTTGATGATTTCTGCTAACTTGGTGCGACTTCTCCTCACCAAGCAGCCACTTTGCTCTAGACCTTTCAATTGAAGTTCCTCTCCTTCAACCTTTGCATGTTGGATTTCACATCAATAACATCTCCCTATAACCTTGGAGCTTTGTTTGGATTCAAGCTTTCCGACGGTAATTGGACGATTCCTCCGACGCATGCCATCAAGGTTAGTCTGAAACGATTCCTACCTTATTGCCCTATTGCATGTCAACATCGGCTTCAAATTTGTGATTTAAAATTGCTGCCCTTTTGAAAAAAAATTCATGATTTTGTCTAATCCAATTTAACGGTTAGAAATTTCGCCTGGGGACTGCAATTTCATCTGCTCCAAACAAATAGATTCTTTTTATTTTGAATTTAGAAAATTATATTCAAATTTGTTTTACATTTGATTCAGTTGGGATTGTGTTTTAGTGTTTCCTGCCTGAGTTGTATATAAAGAAAAAGAGTGATTTTTTTCGTATCGTAAATAGTTCATCAGGATCATAGACACGGGTCTGATATTATCAAGTAAGATGCCGAGTCCTCTTGCATTCATATAATTACATTTGTGAGCTACTTTTCTGGGTTTTTGTTGATTTTGTGTGCTTTTGGCATTTTATGACAAAGAAGAAGAAGAAGAATAGTATGTATGCTATAACATTATGAGTTTGAGAACTGAGACATGTGAATTGTGTGGATGTAAGCAACAATTAAGTGATTGTTTTTTCGCCAAAAAGATCGTGTGACTTTTTGATATATTGTTCATTACGAAACAAGGAAGAATAGGAAGAAAAGGAAGAAAATGATCTCTAACTATTCGACCTTGTTACAAGCAATATTGTTTGGTGAAATAGTTGTGTTAAGATATTGGAGAAAATAAAAAATATTAAAAATTAATCTTGAGGTGTTTCTCATTCTCCGGGATGAAATCTGGATATCAATAAGATCAATGGTACCACAAAGTGGCACTTGAAGCAAGGCTCTAGTGCAATCTATATTCTATAAAAGCATAAAACTGCTTCCAAAAAAATAAAAGCATAAAACAACAATTATGGCATCCCTGTTCATCCTAAAAACTTCCCCACTGCCCCAGGCTGCTCTATAAAAATTTTCTGTTCACTATAGTAGCTAGTAGTTCAAGTCAAACTATAAAGCAACACAATATTTTTATAGTAACTCATCTGTGCCTTCTTTCTTTGTCCTTCTCATTTCTTTGCTTTTTGTTATTGTCCTTGATGTGTCCGTCTCTCTCTTTTCTTTTAATATCCTTGCTCTCTCTGTCTCTGTCCATTCTCTGCATTTCATGGTGTCCCCTCTCTGATCTATCTTTGTCCCGTCTCTCCCTCCTCATCTTCATTTCTCTGTCCCTGCCCCTGTCATGTCTTCTCTTATTCTCTCCCTCTCCTTTGTCTTCAATTTCTACTTACCCTTTGTGTTCTGCCCACCCTTTTTGGCGCTAAACCTGGCATTGAAGCCATAGTTGCTTGCAAGGAGATGCGGTCATAGAAATTGAAAGCCTTTTCAATCTTCATGACAACATACATCTTTACTTGAGGAATGCACAGCTCTATTATATCACCACAGATGAAGACAAGACAAGATGACCCATTGGTCAGACATAGAGGTTTGTGCATTGTTGATGGCATTCCAATAGTAATATCCACATCAAATTTTGCAATAACATTCCACCCCAAATATAGTGATCAACTTCCTGCAGTACCCATATACAGTAGTAGATTGAGTCACCATCGACCTGTAAATGAAATTTCCGACTTCATCTACCATAAACCTCTGAATACTAATTTTGGTTGTTGGCAATCCAACATCAAAGAATCTGTTTTTTTTTTACTGCAAGACCAATAAGTGCTCTAGCTTCAAAACCCTACCAATAAGTGCTCTAGCTTCAAAACCCTATGCTGGCCTGCGATATCCTTTCCAAAAGATTGATCATTCCCAAAAGCTACCTACTTTTTCCAAGATTTTGAAGCTGAAATTCACTGACGCTGCAAAACTAGTCCACACTTTTCTTCTGGGTTCAAACACATCAACGAGCTGTTGATTTCCCTTTCCTTGAGATTGGACCTCTACCTTGATAAAAAAAAAGTCATTGGTGAGTTCGGAATACCCAAATACGTAGTTGTAGTCGTTAACCTCGTATTAGGAGCTGTCATGTAGCTTCTCCTGTTGAGAGGGTTCCATAGAATTATAAAGTGGTCATTGGCTAAGCAGACAACTCCTCTACAAGAACCCAGTGCCACTGGCGAAGGATGAAAACGCCAAGAAAGTTCGACCAAACGAAGAGCCATGTCCTGCATAAAGTAAATTCTTGCATAACCTTTTGAATGGTCCAAGTAGGTAGATGAGGTCCTTGGAGCCTTGAAGTCGTAAGATGTTGGACTTTATGAATTTGTCAAAAAGAATGATGTCGCCATATTCTACGGACATTGTTCTGAATCTCACAAGATCCGTCGCCGAGAGCAGCTGCAAAATCTGAAAGGCTATGTTAGTGGGGATCGGTAGGTGCCTGAAGGGTTGTCCAGTGGGTGCTCCAGCATGAGTTCTCGTCATATTTCTCAAGGGTATTTGTCATAATTTCTCTAAAGATCAAATCTTTGTCTAAAGATGGCAAACGGGGATGGGAGAGAAAGAGAGGGAGATGTTGTAATTTGGTTCAAGATGAAGGTCTAATGTCAATGAGTAAGTGAGATGAGAGAGAAAGAGAGGGAGAGAGAGGTTGTAATTTGCAAAAGTAAGGCCATCTCTAAACGAAGAAGGGCCAAAATGCCATGTTTAGCCCTATAACCTGTAAGAAACATAGCCCTTCAGATTTTGCAGCCGCTCTCAGCGACGAATCTTGCCAGATTCAAAACAATGTCCGTAGAATATGGCGACATCATTCTTTTTGAAAAATTCATAAAATCCAACATCTTGCGACTTTAGGGCTCTAAGGACCTCATCTACCTACCTGGCACTCCTTCAGTTAGAGATGACCTTACTTTTGCAAATTACAACATATGTCTCCCTCTCTTTCTCTCTCATCTCACTTACCCATTGGCATTAGACCTTCATCTTGAACCAAATTATAACCTCCCACTCTCTTTCTCTTTCATCCTCGTCTGCCATCTTTAGACAAAGATTTGATCTTTAGAGAAATTACAACAAATACCCTTGAGAAATATGACGAGAACTCGTGCTGGAGCACCCATTGGGACAACCCTTCAGAATTTGCGCCTATCGATCCCCACTAACATAGCCCTTCAGATTTTGCAGCTACTTTCAACGACGGATCTTGCCAGATTTAGAACAATGTCCGTATAATATGGCGACATCATTCTTTCTGACAAATTCATAGAGTCCAACATCTTGCGAAACTTTAGGGCTCCAAGGACCTCATCTACCTACCTGGACCATTTGAAAGGTTATGCAAGAATTTACTTTGTGCAGGAGATGGCTCTTCGTTTGGTCAAACTTTCTTGACGTTTTCATCATTTGCCAGTGGCGCTGGGTTCTTGTAGAGGAGTTGTCTGCTTGGCCAATGACCATTTTATAATTATGTGGAACCCTCTCAACAGAAGCTACATGACAACTCCTAATACGAGGTTGACAGCTACAACTACGGATTTGGGTATTCCGAACTCGCCAAAGACTTTTTCTTGATCAAGGTAGAGGTCCAATCTCAAGGAAAGGGAAATCAATAGCTCGTTGATGTGTTTAAACCCAGCAGAAAAGTGTAGACTAGTTTTACAGCGTTAGTGAATTTCAGCTTCAAAATCTTGGAAAAAGTAGGTAGCTTTCGGGAATGATCAATCTTTTGGAAATGATAATCTTTTGGAAATGATATCGCAGGCCAGCACAGGGTTTTGAAGCTGAAGCACTTATTGGTCTTGCAGTAAAAGAAAACAGATTCTTTAATGTTGGATTGCCAACAACCAAACATTAGTTTTCAGAGGTTTATGGTAGGTGAAGTTGGAAATTTCATTTACGGGTGCGATTGTGACTCAATCTACTGTTGTATCTGGGTACGAAGTTGATCACCATATTTGGGGTGGAATGTTATTGCAAAATTTGATGTGGGTATTACGGGTGCGATGGCAGACCTAATTGAATTAATATGGTTAATTAAATTAAACTACCATATTAAAATAAGGTACAAAGCATGCCTCTCTAGTCTATACACAATACTAATTGGGGTGTATGAAGTACTAAAACAAATCTTGAAATATCAGAGCAGGAAAAAGAATTAATAAGAGTTGAAATGAAACCACGATTCCCCCAATTGAAAGTACATCAGAATACCAAGGCAGGCAAACGTAGAGAGATAAAAACATGGAAAAAGAACACACAAATATTCTTCAACGCTAAAAGCTATTCATACCCCCTCTTTGTGTTCAATCCAGTCCCAACAGCAGTACCACCCTGTGCAAGCTGCTCAAACAAAAAATTTCGATCAATCAGAACATATAAAAAAGGTCGTACCCAGTGCACAAGGCTCCCGCTATAAAAGAAAAAATAAAAGGGGAGGGAAAGCAACTCACAATCCTATGAGTTGCCTACCTGATACATCCCAGGTAGAGTAAGCAAAACTCGTTCAATTCCATATTTCACCTGCAGCCAAATAAAGAGGCTTTTAATAAGTATCTCCTCAAACAAGATACTAATCTTGTCCAAGAGTTAAAGGTGTAAAAAGAATAGTATGGCCCAATGGTGAAAAAATCTCTGCCAGAGGAAAGTAAGCTCACTTGTGTTGAATAGCAGCTGAACTCAGAGTTAAAGGTGTCGCATCTTGTGTGTGAGTGCGTCCAATTTTAACAATATCTTTGAATTCTTCAGACTGGTAACAGTAAAACAGATGGAATCAAGAACTTCCATTAAGATATCCATATGATTTTGAAGGACAACGGGAGAAATTAAACCTTCGAATGTAGGGCAGCATGCAAAGTTTGCAAATTTGGTATCAGTCTTGAGTTAATTTCCATTGCAGATGCAATGTGCATGACCTGGAAATAACACACAGCGTTCAAATAAACAGCAACAAAGCAAAAACAAACCTCACTAAAACAAAAGAAAAGGACTTACGGTTGGGAAAGTGTCATTAGAAGATTGTGATCTATTAACATGGTAATTCGGGTGCACAAATTTTTCGCCGCGCTGATGGCCAAGTATCTCAGCGGCCCTGTTCGCAATGACCTGGGCACAGTCCAATATATTACCCCATTAATTGACAGTTGACATCATTGGCATTCATGTTGCTTTGGGTTCCACTGCCAGTCTGCCAGATAACAAGCGGAAAGTGTTCGTTGAGCTTCCCCTCGGCGACTTCTTGGGCGGCTTGCATTACTGCTTTCCCAATAGTTGGATCAAGACCATACTCCATGTTCACCTGCAGTTAGTCACCAAAAAACTCAGCTAGGCAATACATCAAACACCTTACAGGCACAACCAACAAGTACAAACCTTTGCAGCGCATTTTTTGTAGTGGGAACGAATGCAATAATGGTGCTACACTCTCTTTGCCGAGGTCGTCCACCTATGGTTCGCTTCCCCAGTTTATTTTCCTTCCCATTGCATTCCTTCCCTCTTTCTTTCTCATGTTCTTCTCCCATTCTCCTTCTCTCTTCATCTCTCTCCAAATTGGTCAATGGAGCAGCAATGGGGTAGATTCTCAACCCAGCTTACATCTTCCTCAATGTTTTTGGGGTCACCTTAATAACAAAGCTTCAGGCAAAGAATTATATCAGGAAGTTTGGTATAAACTACATGACTATAAGGCCCGGTGGGTTGGGAAACGACCCTCCAACCGGAAATCTTGTAATGGAGCCAGAGGTAACATGATTTTCGTCACACTTTGAGAACTCTCCCCATTTAATCTTGTTAAGTACGAAAACCCAAGCTGCTTTAACTGAATGTTGTCTATGATCCCTTTTGATATGACACTCTTTCGGAAGGCAGCATCTCTAGAGACCTGGTTGCAGAGGCATTACTGAATCCTGAAGCATCTTACAAGGTTGTGAAGATAGTTTCACAGCCTGATGCCCATAAGCATTCGTATGAGGATCTTTTCGGTTCCATCAAGCAACAGTGATCTTTCACTCACTCAGTGTCATTCCGGAATCCAAAAAAAAGACATGTTGATCAGCGGGCAGCTTACATCTTCCTCAATAGTTGTTTATTTTATTTATTAAATAGTTAGGTGGTGTCGGTTAGGCCGTCAGTAGGTTTACTTGATGTCAGTTAGGACCGCCATCATGTCATAATTTAATGTCGTTTCTAATCGACGTAAGGTTCGATGTTACTTATAAGCGACGCTGTTGTTCTTTTTTATTTTATATTACTTTACTTCTTGGTGGTGGATTAAGGGGACTAACTGACATCAATACTTTTTTTGTGACGCTAGCAATGATGTCAGTTCTTCTATCTGACATTGCATGATTTGATGTTGGATTTTTACCAAAAATCCGACAGTAATTGGGGTTTCTTGTCGGTTTTTACACCGCCAGTGATAACCTCTTTTGTAGTAGTGGTATTTGTTTTGCCCGTTCTTCGTGCCTATGCTTCATTTCTTCCGCAGCAAGGGCATTTTTCTTGGCCATAATCGCAATGAGGACGCCATTCCTCTCGAAATGCTAAATCATCCATTGCCTTACCCTTTTCCTTCAATTTTCAGGCCTTGTTTCGTCCTGTATGGAAGATTCACCCGGAGACGAATTTTCTACCCTTGTTTCTTGAATGATAGGAGATCCTTGTTCATCCCCAACTCCATTTGAGGAAACATTTCTGAACACCGGCGTAGAACCAAATCTTTCTTGAGGTGGATCTTAAAATAACACCCACACTTTACAAATTTCCCAACAACCGTGATGACTTATGGGTTTTTTCATGTCCTACATATTCAATTCCTCCGCTTGGCATACCTAGAATATATAATTACAAAAATTAAAGGAAATTAATTTATGAAATTAAATGTAATATAATTAAATATTTAAAATAACTTGTGAAATCACTTACTTCGTCGTAGTAATTGGCTCCGCTTTCATGTATACTTTCGGCCTTTACCACTTCTTGATGCCATTTATTCAAACTTGGTTGAAGATGTTTTTTTCCTCTTGAAGAACAACTCTCATGGCTTCGGTGGAGTGGTGCCTTCAAAGAACTCATAGTACTTTTTGGACGCATGAGTCCAAACACCTTCACTTGTTTGAGAACTCCCCTTGACACTATCTTCCGAGACCCATCTATAAGCCCTACAAAGAGTTTCATCTTCTTTTCGAGTCCAAGCCCTTTCCTTCATTGCAGATGTGGCCAATTGAAAAGTATTGAAAAATTTGAAGGAAAGATTATTGGAAGAGGTAAGGGAATAGAATGTGAAGAAGTGAAACAAAATGAGGTAAAATAGTATGAAATGATGAAAAGTATGTGAGAAATGGTATAGGAATGGCTTAGGTATTTATAGGAAAAAAAAATTCAAATTCCAACAGTAACTTGACGTTAGCTAGTCGTTGCTAGTTGGCGTTATGCTGACGCCAGATAGTTGTTGCATTTGAAAATTAGGCTGGGAGAAGGCTGGTTGGCTGGCTAGAATAGGCCAGCCTGTTGGCCTGTTTTCAATTTTTTGGCATGGTGGGGTCCACACGCCCTTTGGCCTAGCCCTTAGTTGGAAACGGTTTTTGTGTCATTTTGAGCTATTTTTAGCCCTATGACCAATTGGCCAGGTCAGTTGAAGATGACCTAATTTCATTCAGGATGAAGTAAGCAACACAAAAAAAAAATCATGTTCTTATATCTCTGCTTTCCAAAGTGCCTCAAAAAGGTCACCTAAAAATCAATTGTGTGAAGTGTGATCGATGTTATTGCTCCAAAATCTAGAGAGTAGACATTATTTAATTATTTTATATATTTAATACTAGTCTTTTTTTTGTTGATCAAATATATATTTAATACTAGTTTAGTACTAAAAATCTTGGAAAGGGTAAAAATGTAGGGGGCTTTGCTTCCTCTCAAGATAATGCGAAACAATCTGTCACTTTATATTTTAACGTCAATTTTTATGCCAACTTTATAAAATATAGGGTAAATTGAACTTTACCACTTCAGGTTTAAGGTCTATTGCAACCTCATACAACATCTTAAAAAAAAAATTCACTTTCACACCTCACGTACTATTATTTCAATATAATACATCCGTTACATTTTTCATCCATTGGTTCGTTAAGAGCTGACGTGGCTACCACATTTGTGCCATGTGGTTGTCACATTTATCCCTCTCCTCCACTCTCTTCACCTTCCCTTCCATCCAAAACACCCATCACATCCCACTCCACTCCCGCCTCCCCCGCATCCCCCCACTCTACCCCCACCTCGGCTTCTTCTAAAGGGCTAACTCGCTCCTACGACGATTGGGAACCGACCGGCTCTGACTGCGGGTCCAGAACTGTCCGAAAGAGGACGGAGCACGAGTTTGACTGTTTAGATCAGAGGAAGGGGAATGATCGATACAACAGAGATGATGGAGGGTACGATCGTAATTTGATGCACTGGTCTGAGAGCTTATCCACGTCGAGGAGGTCACCGACGGAGTTTTCGAAAAGGTTTCGATCCGAGTGGGATAAGTCTAGGCACTAAGGCAGCGGGGAGTGGAGCGTTGTCGTGGCAGAGGTTCGGGAAAAGGTTCAAGGAGAGAGGAGGAGGGAAGGGGTTGAGGGACGTGAGGTCGCCGACGTGGTCGAATTCGAAGGATTCGGGGAGCGGGCAGTCTAGGGTTAGGTCTCTAGGGATGTGAGGGTGGAGTGGGGGGGGTTGCGAGGGAGGTGGGGGTGGGGTGGGATGTGGTGGGTTTTTGGATGGGAGGGGAGGTGAAGAGAGTGGAGGAGAGGGAGGTGGGTCGGGAGGATTGAGTTTTTGGGTTTTTATTTTCTTTTTTTTAATAGGGTAAATTATTATAATATTTTTAATGCATAATTTTTTTTTGTCATGTGGCACAAATTTGGTAGTCACGTCAACACAAATGTGGCAGTCACGTCAGCTCTTAAGAGCAATTCCACCCCTGTGGACTTTGCGCCAGCACCCAGCGCATTTATCCACTCAAATGAACAGTAATAGACTGGAGTGAACAGTAATAGGCCAAGGCATCTCCACCCCTAAAAAAATGCGCTGGCACCCAGCGCATTTATTTGGTGTGTTTTTTTTTAAGTTTATTTCGGATAAGATTTTTAACCCATTTAAAATAAAGAATAAAAAAAATAAAATAGTTTTAATTTCGGATAGGATTTTTAATCAATCTCGTCACGCCACGTGTCATTATCTGAACGTACTATTTTGTGAATAGATTTCCGATATTATTTTCAACCAATCCCGACACGCCACGTGTCACTTCCATGGTACAATAATTTAGCCAAGATTTCGATAAGATTTTCAACCAATCACGTCATGCCACGTGTCATGAGAGATGGCGTTTTTCCAACAAGTAAATGATGCGTTGAGTTTTTTCCAACGACCTTGAAGACCTTGACTAGTTCTGGCGTTTTCTCCATGTACATCACAAAACGCTTTCGTAATTTTACTCCACATCTCTCGCTTATCCATCTCATTACCCGTAATCGGATCATGAGTAGTGTGAACCCAACATTCACACAACGTAACATCTTCAATGAGCTTCCACGAAGACATTTTTTTCTCTTAAAGTGTAGAAAATATTGAAATGTAGATAGTATAGAAAGTGTAGAAAATATTGGAATGTGGTGTAAAGGTAGAAGATGAGGGTTAGGTATTTATAGGAAAAAAAATTAACATTTTTCAAAATTTTCTGTAATTTTTTTAAAATTTTCTGTATTTTTTAATAATTTTTCTGTATTTTTTAATAATTTTTAATGAATTTTAATATAGTTAATTAATCTGGACCGTTGGATTTGAAAAATATTCAAAATCCAAGAGCTAGGGAGTTGCCACGTGGCAAACGGTCATATTTCTGACCGTTGGGCCCTTTTTTTTTTTTTTTTAATTTACTTTTTGTGAAAAAAACGTGGACCGTTGATCTTTGATCCGACGGTCTAGTTTAAAAGTAAAATTTAAAATTTTTTTACCGTTGGAAATCCAACGGTCTAGAAAACTAGCCGTTGGAAATCCAACGGCAGAGAGGTAGCCACGTCGCAACTCGGGGGGGGGGACTGACAGCGCCTGCACGCGGGCCCCGGCGTCTGAAAGCTTGTCGGGCACTCGCCAAACGGCTGCGTGAAGTGCACGCGCCAGGCTTCTTCCCCGGCTTCTGTCTCAGTCTCTTTTGGGCTGGGCTCTTGCCCAGCTCGGGCTGGGTACCAATCAGTTTGTTGGGGTGGACTTGATTGACAGAGGCCTGGCTTGGTTTTTGGACTGGAGGCTGGGACATTTGGTCCCCGGTGGAATTGCTCTAATGGACCAATGAATGGAAGATGTAACAGATGTATTATATTGAAATAAAATAGTACGTGAGGTATGAAAGTGAAATTTTGTGAAGATGTTGCATGAGGTTGTAATAGACCTCAAACTTAAGGTGGAAAAATGTAATTTGCCTAAAATATTTGCTAAAAATATGAGGTGAATGTTCGTCTGCCGTGAAGAAGACAGAACTCC